ACGTTTCATCTCTGTCACCAGCTTCATTGTCTACCACTCGCCAGAGGAGCCAAGCTAGACCACTTGCCACTTCTTACAGCTAGTCTAGCCAGTGCTTGCCTGCCTACCCAGCTCCCGCAGCCCAGGTCACCCTCTACCCATCTCTGCCTGGAGAAACCCAGGAGAAATCCTTTTGAGATCCATCACACACACGTCACTCCCTTCTTGAAATGATCTCAGCTTTTCCTTGCTCCGACGAAGCACAGGAGTTCCCACAACTCTTTGCTCTCACCTCCTTCATAGCATTTGTCTCATTCTACTTAGTCCTAACAGCAGTGCACCTGCCATAGCTACCCCAGTAAAGAAGAGACCACGATTCTCAGTTTGTCTCCTCAGTAGCAATAAGCTAACAGCTGGCACATCATCAAATCTCAAAGTAATAATAACAACGTATAAATAAAATCATGGATGAATGCAGTAAATGAAAATTCACCAGTCTCCCTCATGTCCCACTTCAAAGTCGTTTAAATATGAATTTAAACAGAATACAAATGGGCTGCCTCTCTTAAACCCAAAAGAGAAATAATCTCTAAATCAAATACCATTTTGTGTTTTCCATATACAAGTGGTAATCAAAGACTGAACATGCTAAAGATGAATTATGTCTGCAGCCAACTACCTTTCTGTAGTTGGGCATTTAACTTCACAAAATGCAACATACAATTTGGAAACATTTTGGATTTGTATTATAATCAATTAAAGAACAGGGAGAGGAAGGAGAGATGAAGAGAAAGACAGGAAGTAGACCAAAATATGGAAAGGGAGGCGGATCTATACCAAATATCCAGCTGCTCTAAAACTATAATTTGTTTTCTAAGAGGATTAAACACTTGCTGGAATGCCCCTTTCGATCCTACCCAAAGTTGGAAGTTCTGGTCTTTAAATATATAATCTTATTTTCATCTGAGGAAGAACCGCTGGTCTGGCGTAGGGACGTCCTGAGGCAGAGGAGGAGCCCACTTTCAAACAGGGCCATCCCCACTTGCAGTCTACTGGGACGCAGTGGCCTGCGAGTTTGAAAAGCACGCTGCGTTTTTGCAATGACAACAGAGTCGGTCTCAGCCAAGGCGCTGCACCTGGACACACGCTCTGTCGAACGGATTTGCTTGGGCAAATAGACCGTAAATTTCCCGACCGCCTTGGGCTCTCCAGATTACGCGGCTGCTCCAGCTGACTGAACAGAGCTCTGTCATACCGCACAGAACTGAGGTGACCGACCACCCTGCGCATCTCCAGGGCCATCCTGGCACCTGTAGGAGCGCGGACTGTCCGTAGATCCCAGGCAGGGGTGGGCGGAGACTCGGAGCAAATCCGCAGGAGTTATACCCTCCTCCCATCTTCTGGCCAGAGAAGGGGAGAACGGCCCCCGTCCTCGAGGCTGGGACACGCTCTGGCGCCCACACCGGCACTGACCCCCACGCTCCAGTGGTTCTTGGATCTCGGGGCTCTCTGTTCCCCAAGCAATGCCCCTGCGCGGGCTCCCAGTTCGGACCGCGCAGCGGGCCTGGGGGTGTGGGGACAGCCCACTGACCTGGGTGCGGGGCTCCTCTCCGCGCGGCTCAGGTGTGCGGGCCGCTCTTGTGTCCCTCCCACCTCCGTATATGAGAGCCGAGAACCGAGCTGCAGGCCACTGACCCACCGACCAACTGACCCACCAACCAGCGCACCGACCGGCAGCGGCAGGGTCTGGAGCCCACGTGACGGGGGCGGGGACCCGCGGGAGGCTCGTCCCGGAGCTCCCGCTCCCCCACCCCCTCTGGGACCGCCCCTCTGCCACTCCCCCTCCCCCTCGGGTACCGTTGCGGCCGGTAGGGACCGGCCTCGACAATCCCGCCTCTTCGAACCTGCTTCAGCCCCCGCCCGGCCCCAGCTCCCACCCCAGCTCCGCCCCCGCCCCCGACCCCTGGACCATCGTGGGAGTACCCCAAGCCCCGCCTCTTTTGGGAGGCCACGCCCCTCCCTGGAACCCCGCCCCGCTCCTGCACCCTTCCGGCCCCGGGGAGGTCGCCGGGCGCTTCCAGCTCCCAGTCGCGTGGGCTTCTCCAGCCATTCGCTAACCGCTCTTCGGCCGCAGGGCATGGAAGCGAGGAAGCAGAAAGGGAACTTGTGTCGAGAATTAGGAAGAGAAAGAGAGACGCCATAGAAAAAACGTTTTAGAGGCACACCCAGCGCAGCAACCCGAAGGTGTCCGGACTTCCCGGACCCGTGCGATCCCGTCCAAATGGAGGCGGGCCTGAGGGCATCCTCATCCCTTGTCTCTGAGCACCAGCACCCCCACCCCCGCGCGGTTTGGACGGCTGAGTCACCCTAGGGTCCGGTCACTCGAACCCCGAGACCTGGGGTGGAGGTCCCTCTAGCGGTCAGCGCCAACCAAAGACACTGGAGCCGGTTCTTGTGAACAGTCCAGGACAAGAAGCACTTCCCTGTGCCCAGCACCAAGGCGGGGTTCCACAGGCCCAAGAAAAGCGTTCGTGATGTCTGACCACAGGAATGGATTCTAGAATCAGTGTAGGACTGGGCCCTGGGGACCTAGTCCAACGCCTTCCCCTAGTGTACCGCCTGAATCCCCTTTGGTTGTACTGCTAGGTTGTTGCCCTGCCTGGGCCTCCAAGGACTAGTTGCTCAGTTCAGCTGATTAAAATCCCTGTGGGCCTCAGATGGCATCGACAGCAGGGACTCTGGCAAGTCCCCAGCTCTGGCAGGAGCTGCCCTGGCCTCAGTTTTTATCTATGTTTCTACAGGCTGGAGTGTTGACAAACTCCACAAGACTCATCTTTCAAATTACTCTGGTGCTCTGACATTACCAGTGTGCCCAGAAGACTTTTACATGTGAACAAAACTTAAGCCACCCTGGCAAATATGAGACTCTGGTCACTGCAGGAACCTGGCCAGAAGCAGACCTAGGGCAAAGCCAGCAGAGGAAGGCTGGGGCCCACAAGAGTTGTGTTACAACAGGACACCTTTCAGTTCTCTTTCGCTTCCTTAAAATAGCAGCAGAGAGGCCTTTGTAGACCGAGCTGCCACAGTTCACACGAGTTCATGGGTGTTTCCAAATCCCACATGTTGGTGTCCCAGTGAACCCACCACCCTGACCCCAGCGCCCAGTCTGTTCTTAGAACTATACAATTACTTTTTAAAAATTACTTTAAAAAGTGGTGCAAGTGTCTGGGTTTCAAGCTTATTCACACTTTGGAACGATGTTGGGGGAGAGGACTTAAAAAATACTGTCTGGGTCTCACCTCCAGAGGTTCCAATTTAATGGTCTGGGGGTGGCCTGGCTTTAGGATTTTTAAATACTCCTCAGGTGATGCTTATGTGCAGTAAAGTTTAAGAACTTCGACCCTCCCTGAAATCCATCAAGAGCTGAAAGCACAAGGCAGTGTTCACCGGCCTGCATGCTATCCAGCCCTAGCTCCCGGGAAACAAAGTGGCACATTAACTGGGCTTCCTGGAGAAAACGTCTTGACGTAAAAGAGTGATTCTAGCTGCAGGAATTTAAGGCACCAGGTTGTTAGTGGCAGGTACGCCCTGCAGAACTGTCAAATGAAAGCATACCAGAGACGAGAGGCAGACAGCACGTCACAGGCAACCTCTCCTCCATGCCTCCAGAGGAACTTTGTGTGCAGGACCTGCGCATAATTCCACTCGCTGATAATGCCACACTACCTTCCTCTGTGAGGCAGCCCACATTCCTTTTCCCTGTGAAATAGGTAATGCTATTGTACCCGTGGGGCAGGTAATGTCCTGAAACCCATGGAGTGGGTAATATCATCATGTTTGTTTATTCAGAACTGCCTCATTCCACAACGGACTTGGGCTTTCCGTATCACTTTATTGGAACTGTGTGTAATTGTGCTGTATCCATGGGGTGAGTAATTTTATTCTGCCAAAGATCTACTCAAATGCCCTGGGGAAAAAACAAATGAACTCTCTTCACTGCCTACAGTCCCAGCCTGGGCTTGGCAGAGTCACGAAAACAGCTGCAAAGGCACAAAGCAAACTCTCTCATGTGACCAACCTGGAAGGACAGAGGCCTCGGCACATGACACAGAGTGGCACCACAGCCTGCACTTGTGACCCAAACAGGCTGATTGGACGGATGCGTGGGAAAGATTTTGAAGAAGCCCCTCTGGATATGCACAGCTGTCCTCTGTCCCCTGTGCCACATGGTACGCCTGCTGTGACAGGGAGTCACTTGCCTGCTACCTGGCTTCCATCCAGATTCCAGAACATTTACCAAGGGCCTCTGTGTCTTGGGGTTGGTTCGCAGTAAACCCAAGCACAGGCAGCCCTCCCTGAAACTCTGATGCTGAGGGTATGCAGGCAAATATAACCTCATGAGGTTTATTTGCTGAGTGTCAGTTTTATTGTATTTCAGGGAAGAAGAGAGAAGCAGGGGAAGGTAAGCCAAGATGAGGCTAGAGGTGGGTCCTCACCCTTAGGCTGGTTGTCTGGAGGAAGTACCTTTTGAAAAGCCTTTAGGAAAGTCTTGTGCAGACACAAAAACAGGCTGAAGGGGTATATCATTATTTTGAGGCTGAAATAATGAACATATTGCTTATAAAAGGTTGGACAAAGAAATATACATATTTGATGCTTCCTTGGCCAATGGAAAGACTAAGGACTTTGCAGTATTTTCTAGCTCTGTCTTTCATTTTGTAGCTGTGTTACTTTGAACGGCTCATCTAAACTCTCCTCATCTTTAAATGGGAATTATAAAGACTTGTTCTGCATATCACAAGGATGAGATGAGAATTAAATGATGTGACATAAGTGCAAACACTTTGTAACTGGAAAATGGTATTCAAATGTTAATGTTTTTACTTTATTATTATATCTACCTAGCCTGGTGGAGGGGCAAAGCTAGGGGAAATGGAAATTAAACATCAATAAGAAGTAGTACTTTAGTTGGGCAGTGAAAAATGGAAGAATATCAATAAGCATTTGTGAAAGAAGAAAGAGCTTCAGCAAAAAGGCCAGAGGAGACAAAAGCCAGGAGTATTAGTGGGTGGTCTATATTACTAATTGCTGAGGCGGGGGGAGTTAGAGTAAATGCTTGTAAAAGAAAAGGCTGGACGTAAGCAGGATCAGAATGTGGAAGGCCTTGAGAGCCAGAAGGTTTGGATGGCTAATGGAAGCTGTTGAAAAATTTCTGAATGACAGACTCTCATCTAAGCTCTTGGAAGATCCCTAAGGCCAATAACATCTGGGAAAGGAGGCATATGCATTCCCACTTCTGGACCCTATCCCTGTATGTGACTGGAGGGATACTATATTGCAAAAGGGCTGTGGCCTCATCGTCCTGGAAAGCAGCATCCATAGCCATGGTGCTCTCCATCTCGGCTGTAGGGCATTACTCCGGAGGCTGCTTTCTCTTTGTCTGGAGTTTGTAAATGATCTGGTTTCCATCATTCCAGGCATAGAGCTGCTTATCTCTGGGGTTGTAATGGATCATGGAGTGACTTCTTGGCCGCCTGGGGAAGAACAAGTTGGGCAGATCGTTGTCACTGATAGTGCCTAGCGGATCATAGACACAGTTGATGCGATGGGGGCCGTGACCACCAGAACTATAGACCACATAGAGAACCCCACACAAGAGGAATGAGGCTTCAGCATCCTGGCTTCTGCATGGAGTGTCCCATGAATGTTCCACTCCCAGTGTGCCAGGCTCAATTTTTGTGAGAACCAAATGGCTTTGGATGCCTGGCCCTGAGTGGATGGCCCAGAGCCCATGCTCATCCACAGCCAGGTCAATGTAAGTTGAGGGAGAGTGCTGGTAGACCAGCGCTCGGCCTGCCCCTCCTGGGAGCAACATTCGATCTTCCACAGTCCTCTTCTGCAGATTATATTTGATTATCTCGTTGGGAGTCCCTCGGTTGTGAAAAAATAGAAAACCCTTGTAGATCACTTGGCCTGTTCCCTGCCAGGAACGTGTTAGGATTAGCTTCCGGGGGCCTGGCTTGGTGCCATCCTCCACGAATGCCCGCATGTTTGCAAATTCCCAAACAGTGTTGCTTCTGGACCCAATGAAGAAGTAAACCTTTGGAGAGTCGCTGACAGCATCTTTCATCCAGGAGCCATGTGTGTCCGTAGTCTTCTTCACTATTTTCAAAGACTTTATGCCCATCAGCATGTTGTCACAGCCTGGCCAAACAGGAGAAAAAAGAGAGGTTACTTTATAAACATGAGATGTTTGCTTTTCTGACAGATTGCTTTTTCCCCCCTTCAGTGTCTAGAATAAAATTATCACACAGAGATCAATCATAATTTATTGTATGAGTCAATGAATCAAAGATTTAAATGAATAAATGGATCTCTGTTAAGGGAGTTGCTGTCCAGTTATAAGAGTGAGCATTTTCTTCCAGTCAGGATAGAAAGAACTATTAGCTGTGTCAGAGAACCTGTCACTCTCTAGAGCATTGGGATTGACACAGTGACGATGACTTAGGTGTGAATCCTCCTAATTCAATTCCATTTACCAAGATTTTATTGGCTATCTACTGTATACTTAGCTTACAATGCTCTCTGAGAACAATGCTAAGTACTGAGGATGAAAAATAGAATACCAACCCTACACCCTGAAAAAGATCATCTTCTCATGAATACTTCTGTCCTTAACACTACCAGAACATTCTAAGAATTCTACTCAACCATTCATTTATTTATTCATGAACACACGCATGCATCTAGTCAGCAGATATTGGATACCTACAAAGGGCAAGATCCTGAGCTACATGTTATGAGCTGGGGGTGCAATGGGCTGAGGTGCAATAATAAGTTAGAAATAGTTCTTGCTTAATAGGTACATGACTAACCAGACTATAAAGCTTAAAGTGAATTTTTTACAAAAGAAGGAGAGAAAAGGGAGATGTCATTTGAGGCAGGGGAGAATCTGCATTTGCATTGGCCCTTGAAGATGCCATTCTGAGATGGGTGGGAAGTACATTCCTGACAGTTAACAAAACCACATTTGGGAAAGTCCTCCAAGATTAGTGTTAGTAAAGTAGTAAGAGTTTCAACCAATACCAGCTAAATGCTTGATATCGCCCCAAACTGGTTACATAAAACAAAGTTGTGAATTGAAAGCAGCTCTGTGCCTGGAACCTTGAGGATGGGGCTAGGGAATATCGATTTTATTCTATAGGCAGATAGGGAGCTACTGAAGTTTTTGAGCAGGAGTGAAACATAGTCAAGGCTGTTCTACAAGATTCATTAAGCTGGCAGTCATGTGTATGATGGATACATGGGAAAGAGACCAAAATCAGGGAAATCAATTAGGACGGTATTTTTATAATTCAGAAAGGATGATAAGGGTCTAAACTAGGCAGAGGAAGGTGAAGCGAAAAGAAGAGGTTTACATTTTTCTAGCTCCCCACTGCCATTTCAGACTATTATTCTTTCACTTTCATGCAAAAATCCTTCCTGCTGTGTATCTCAGGCTATCAATTCCTTATAGCCTAAGTCACTGATTGTTCTCCAGGACACTGCTTCATGTGCATCAAGGGCCTGAGCACTTCAACCTCTTCAACTCCAAGGCACCTTACTTTCAAACCACATTAGCAACCCCGTCCCATGGCCATGCTCTGGATCCCCCCAGCCCTCAGAACTGTTCCATGTTAGAAATCTAGAACTCTAACATCCTACTCTCTGCAACAACATCTTATCCTTCCATTTCTCACTCCTTTGCTCTCACCTCCTCTGCTCTTCCGTTTCCTCATGCCCTCCAGTCCCTTGACGTCTACTTTCTCCCAGGCTGTCAGCCCTCTCTTGACCTCACTGCCTTTCCTATCCAGGCTAGACCATTGTAATAGCTCTCTCACCAGCACCCTCGCCCAGCAACTCCTAGTTATTCCACAATATCCACACTACAAACACCCCTGGTCCTAGATCAGTTCAAACATCTGCCTCTGCCCTGAAGAATTGTGTGCTGGTGGAGAAAATCTCACTATGGTGCAGACTGGTACCACTACACATAGGGGTCTACAACCTCAGCTGAGCCCTGTGTAGTATATACTGTACTGCTCCCCATGGTGAGCCCCCCATCTTCCACATAGCAGCTATCTTTTTTGTCCCCCCCCAAAGCCCCAGTAGATAGCTGTATGTCATAGCTGCACATCCTTCTAGTTGCTGTATGTGGGACACGGCCTCAGCATGGTTGGAGAAGCGGTGCGTGGGTGCACGCCCGGGATCCGAACCCGGGCCGCCAGTAGCAGAGCGCGCGCACTTAACCGCTAAGCCACAGGGCCGGCCCTTTTTAATTTTTTTTTTTATTTATTTACATAGCAGCTATCTTAAATCTCCCCTCCCAACTACCCCATTGGTCCCTTCATAACAGCAGATTAACTCCTTTGAAAAATTAAATACCGTTAGACATGAACTCCCTCCACTTCCTGTCCCTCACTTATAAACTTTTCTTTGGTTATCCCTACCCTTGAGAACCACCCACACATCTCAGAGGAGGCCATGTCATTCTTCCTGTCCAAGACGAATGCATTTACTTGTGCTCTGGTCTCATCCTTTCCTGGCTTCTTCTAGACTTCCTCCATGAATTATTCCCTTTCTATTATCTTGAATTTCTCCTTCACTACTAGTTCTTTAGCTTATAAACGTCTTGCCTATATTAAAAAAAACAATTCTCCATCAATTAGGTACCCTTTTCTAGTTATTCCACACTTTCTAATATTTTATATAGCTAGATTCTCCTACAGAATAGTCTATATTCTCTCTATCTACTTCTACACCTCCCGTTCTTTCACTTCATCATAACTTCACAGAAACTACCCTTCACAATGTTACCAGGGACTTCCTAACTGAAAATCAGTCCTTTTATGTCCATATCCTACTTGACCTTTCTGTAGCATGACAGTATTGATCAGTTCCTCCTTCTTGAAGATTTCTTTTCCCTAGATCTTTGTGTCACCACTGTCTCTGTGTGCCTACTTGTTTATTCTCTGACAGCTTATGGCAGAGACAATGTCTGTGTTCAACAAATGCCATTTCATTTTCCTCTTCCCTAGTTACACATTTGCAGCCTCCTTTGTAGTTAGGCTGCACCATCAACCTGTGTTCTGTCTAATGGGATGTGGATAGAAGCAGTGTAAGCCACTTCTACCTGGACCTTAAATATGCTATCTTCGAGATGACCTTAGACTCTTGGAATTCTCATGATGACCAGGTTAAGGAGGCGTATGGGTCAAGATGAGATTAGTTCTACTGGTCATTTTGGTAAAAGTGAGTCATGAGTTCTAATTGTGGACTTGTTGTTGGGAATGCCCTGTTAGACAGTCTCTTGTGGGGTGAGCAGTGTCAGGGTGGCAGGGAGTTGTGGCCTTATTAGAAGGATGAGGTACCCTATGGGTCTCCCTCACCTGCCGAGGTCTGTATCATGGGTAGAAGGGGATGATTTTACTAAGAGCTGGGAACTCATTGATTGCTGGACGGTGAGGTGGTGGAATGATAGTCGGGTGTATAACAGTCTCACAAGAAGAACTGAAAGTCCTTCCAAAGGCTTTAGAATAAGAAGCTGAATGTGCCAATGAGTTGTCACTTTCTTCTTAATAAATGCTTGGGTTTTCTAGGCCAACTGGATGCCAGCTAGAGTTGGAGGACAAGAAACAGGGTGAAAGGAGAGAAACTGGATGTGAAGAAGAAAGGTGCACAGCCAGAGAAGTCCCAGAGGTTCTGAGGTAGGTATGCATTTTAGCAAACTGCTTGTTAACAGCCAGCTGTTTGGGTAGCAATTCTACCTAAGTTCCTTAATCAATTTATCACCCACTGTTATCCTACCTTCTCTTCTCTCCTCAAGCCTCCATCATACCCATCTCATTCTCATATGAAGATCTTGCCTCTTACTTCACTGAGAAAATAGAAGCAATCAGAGAACTATACCATCTCCTGCCTGGATTACTGCAATAGTTTCCCACATGGAGGCCACACTTCTATCCCTGACTTCCATAGTCCATTTCCCACAGCAGCCAAAGGGCTCTTTTTAAAATGTAAGTCATATCATGTCACATGTCTGCTCAAAACTCACCGGTGACTTCCCATCTCACTCAGAGTAAAGCTCAAGTCTTTACCTTCCAGGCCATATGTGAGCTGTCCCCCCACTGCCTCTGTGGCCTTGTCTCCTACAACTCCCTCACCTTGTTCATTTTGTTCAGCCACATTGGCTTCCTCGCTGTTCCTCAAATTGTGTCAAGCACACTCCTGCCTTAAGAATTTGGCACGCTTTGTTCCCTCTGCATGGAATCATCTTCCCCAAGAAATCTACATGGCTTCCTCCCTCACTTCCTCTAGGTCTGTTCTCAAATGTTCCCTGATTGTTAAGGTCTTTTCTGACCACTCTATAACAAATGGCAACCCCTTCTCCAGCTTTCCATAACCCTCTCACCCTAGTTCATTTTTCTCCATAGTGCTTATTATCTTCTTTTGGTTTTTTTGAGGAAGATTGGCCCTGAGCTAACATCTGTTGCCAATCTTCCTCCTTTTTTTCTCCCCAAAGCCCCGGTACATAGTTGCATGTCATAGTTGTACATCCTTCTAGTTTCTCTATGTGGGACACTGCCCCAGCATGGCTTGGTGAGCGGTGGGCAAGTCCATGCCCAGGATCTGAACTGGCAAACCCCGGGCTGCCAAAACGAGTGGGCGAACTTAACCGCTGCACCACCGGGCCAGCCCCAATAGTGCTTATTTTCTTCTATCTGACATATAAATTCACCTGTTAACATATTTATTGCTTGACTCCCCACAATAGAATGTAAACTTTATGAAGGCATGAGCTTTGTCTTATCTGTTTCATTTACTGCTGTATGTCTTGCCCCTAGGATAGCAACTGGCATATCATAGGCCAGTATTTGCTGAATGAATGAATGAGTTTTCCAACCACTAACTCTACCAACCAGTTGCACCAGTCATTTTCCCTGCCTTCCCTCCTGCTCCCTTTACTTTTGCAGTGGTCTCGTCCCCTCTCACCTACTCATGGACTTCGCACCTGAAATTATCTCCCCTCTCCTGCCTCAATAGTCTCTCCCTCTCAACTGGATCATTCCCCTCACTGAACAGACTGTAAGGTCATCCATCCTGGAAAATCTTTCCAGTGTGGCCCCATTTCTCTCTTCCACTTTATAATAAAACTCCTTCAAAGA